CTCACACTGAGCAAGAAAAGCAAGCTGCTAACGAATACAAACACTACAATGACACTGTTTATAAAGTTTCAAAATATGCAGAGCAATAGTTTGCATGATTCACCCAGTAAAGTTAGAAGGATCTATGTGGAGATGATTTATACAAAATTTAGGAAATGGACATCTTGTGGTGGGAGGGAGGGAGGCAGACGCAGGAGTGCAGAGCTGTACAGAGCGGATAAAGCTTTATTTCTCGGCTGGATGGCGAAGAGGTGGACACATTCTGTATGTCTGATGTGTAATTTGTATACCTTCTAAAACATATTAAGCATGCATAATAAATTTGTGATGTGACCTTTGCATATCAATACTTCCAAATCCTTTCTTGCAGCCTTATGAAAATGATTAACCCCACCTCCTGATTTTTCAAGATGGTTAAGTTTCAGGAACTTAAAAAAAAAAAATTGAAGTGCACTTTGTTTTAAACTTTAAAGTGTCTATTTGACTATTCGTGTGACCAAACATATTACGAAGTGTATGATATACACGGTTTCAGCAGTGACTGAACTTGACAAAACTATGGTATGCAGAAAGTCCTGTTGCCTTCTGAGGTCACAGTCAAACCTTGGGACGTCAAAATAAATAGCAAGAAATAGCCACACTTTTGTAAGTGGAGGAAAAATAAAATTAGTATGTCACATTTTTCTGTGCCCTACCGATTCTTTCCACCCCTTCTCTATCCATCATCCCCTAGGGACAGTGGATAATCCCTTTTGTCCCAGTGCAGTGGAATCTAGTTTTGTTATAACGTGATGTGAAGCCTATAACTGATTTTGGGTCCAGTTGATTTAAGACTTTCACAGCAGTAACTCTAGCTATTAAAATTTCCGTAGTTGGGAAATTTATCCTTATGGTTCTGCTCAGTTGCCCTATCACAGATTTGCATTTTTTAAGAAATTCTTTTCTGCATTGAGTTAGCCACCTAGGTAATATGTCTCCATTTTGCATCAGAGATATTATGTCTCACATATTGAAAATACTCTCCATACTCTCCGCAAATATAACAATATTAGTGGAAGGAGGGTCGGACATCATATGGGAATGATGTTCTTAAACTTCCCACAACTTGTTTTGTTGTTCTCTTGGTCTAGTGGGAATCTAGTCTTCAAGAATCTAACGGAGCTTTTCTTGGATAGATTTTATGTTGTTTTCTTATCTCAATCTCTCCAAATGGCAACTGTGAGTACTCCAGTACAATTAGAATCAAGGTGAAACCAGTGGCTAGAGAGTTATTTTTTAAAAATGAATAGGTGGGCGCCTGGGTGGCTCAGTTGGTTATGCGACTGCCTTCGGCTCAGGTCATGATCCTGGAGTCCCGGGATCAAGTCCCGCATCGGGCTCCCTGCTCAGCGGGGAGTCTGCTTCTCCCTCTGACCCTCTTCCCTCTCGTGCTCTCTGTCTCTCATTCTCTCTCTCTCTCTCAAATAAATAAATAAAATCTTAAAAAAAAAAATAAATAAAAATGAATAGGTTTCTGAGGTAATCATTCTCATTCATTCATCACTTCAACAAATATTTATTGAGCTACTACTACACATCAGGCACTGTTGTAGACACTGGGGATCTAAGAGTGAAGAAAAAGGGGCCAGGCCCTTGTCCTCGTGGAGTTTGCCTTCTAGTGATTTCTTAGAATAACTCAGAGGATTGAAATGACATCAGGTACATATGATGACAAGGATGATGACGGGCAAGCTCTTTCAGAAAGCCTTTCATGATCTTCCATGACCCTCCAAGCTAAGCTCAGTGCCTTCCTCCCCACCTGCCCCAGGACACCCTGGGCATATCTTAGCCACTTGGGGCGCTGATATCTCAGTACGTTGCCTTTGTATCCCAGCAGTGCCCCTCACCAGCTGTGCAACCTTGGGCCAGTTAACTCAACCCTTTTGAGCTTAATTACTAGCTCATCCTACTGAGCACCTACTATGTGCCAAGCTCTCTGCTAAGTGTTTTACATAAATCATTTTACCTAATCCTTCTACCAAGGTAGATCCCATTACTATTACTCTTACTGATAAGAAAATTAAAGCCCAGCAAGGTTAAGTAACCTACGGGAGGTCAGTCATGTGGGTAGTAAGGGACAGAACGCATAGTAAGGGTCCAATAAATGTTTGCCTCATGGTGTGGTGGTGGGTACCAGGGGGAGGCAAGTGAGGCAAGTCATGCACATGCCATGTCAGATCCTGTTGAAAATCTTGATGCTTTGTTCATCATGGATTTTTCCTGCATTTATGTTGTTTTTAAAATATTGTATTAAAATATGTATCTTGAAAACTGAGCTTTTGGGCACCCACCATAATTTCTTGCCCAAAATGAGTGCCTCTCTCACCTCACACTAGTCCCAGTATCATTAGTATTATCATTGGTATCACATTGGAAGGGGAGTTACCTATTTATTTGTTGAATGCCCCTGCTAAATTCAGAGATGTTTAGAGGTTGCCCCCAAATCTTGTGTCCATAAATCTTGTTAAGAGTTGGCACAGAGTAGGTGTTCAAGAAATAGTTGTGGAACCAAACTTTCTTCTCCACAATAATTCAAAGGAAGACTAGCCACCCTTCAGTGAGAAGACAGAACTAGTTGACCTCTTCGATCTCATGTAGTACGATTAGTCCATGGTGTGTCATTGTTGGCAGTAATCCTGTCAATATTATTAACATATTAACCACCGCTGTCAGGCACTGAGTATCTGCGAGGGCCAAACACTTAACACACCTCCTCTCAAATTCTCACCACAAAGCAGGAAACCGAGGCTCAGCAGTGTGGAATCACTTGCCTGGGGCCCCACACCTAGTAAGCTAGTAAGTGACAGTCAGCACAGGTCAGTGTGAGTCCAGACTTGAGTTCTTTCCATTCTACCACCTTTGTTTTTTCTTTCAGCTCACAGTCTGTCACTGAACAGACTGTGGCATGACTGGGGCTGTAGAGAAGGGCGTGGGCAAGTGAAGACGATGATGAACTTATACAAAGAAAAGATCTGCACACACCTGAACCCCCAAAGGGGAGGAGAGTTGCCGGGCCCTTCCGTGTCCCTGTGCAACACCCTCTCTGACCACTGCTACAGGGCTGTTGTGGCCATTATCCCATACTGTGGTGTGACCTTGACCTGTATCCATTTGGAGGGATGGATCCACGACTTGTCTGTGTGTCTCAAATACTTGTCTTCCTGTCCTGCTTCCTTTCAAATAAATTGAGTAGTTAGTCTGACCGGATGACAAGAAGTCTATATGGTTGGGCAGCTGGTGATGGGCACCCTAGATCAGAAACAAGGAACCCAGCATTATGTTCTTTGTTCTTCAAACTACATTGGGTCAGCACTAAGTGTCTAAGATCCTACTCTGATTTCCACCATGAATGACATGGTTGTATTTTCCAAAGCACATTTCTTAAAACATCAGTACTATGGGCGCCTGGGTGGCTCGGTCGTTAAGCGTCTGCGTTCGGCTCAGGTCATGATCCCAAGGTCCTGGGATAGAGCCCCACATCAGGCTCCCTGTTCAGCAGGGAGTCTACTTCTCCCTCTGCCCCTCCCCCCTGCTTGTGCTCTCTCGCTCGCACTCTCTTTCAAATAAATAAATAAATAAAATCTTTACCAAAGAAACAAACAAACATTAGTACTATGGAATTCTGTGTTTAAAGAAGGTGAAACAGGCTTTTCTATCTCAGTATTTCTCAGAGCCTTCAAAAGGCTAATAAGGGAGGTGAATCTCCAAAAGAGGTAGATCTCAGCCCGCGTTCCTCCAACCGCTTGCCAGTATGTGGAGTACTTCCACGTGGGATGCACTTTGGGAAACTGCGTGTCAGGATCTTTTAAATAGTATCTCATTAGAAAGTGCCAAGAAGGTGAAACCTTGGGAAGTGATTCTTAAGGAATGAAATGCTAATGTCCTTTTTTATTCTTGCACTATAAAAAGGAAAAGTCAGGGCGCCTGGGTGGCTCAGTCGTTAAGCGTCTGCCTTCGGCTCAGGTCATGATCCCAGGGTCCTGGGATCGAGTCCGACATCGGGCTCCCTGCTCTGCGGGGAGCCTGCTTCTCCTTCTCCTACTCCGCCTGCTTGTGTTCCTGCTCTCGCTGTCTCTCTCTCTCTGTCAAATAAATAAATAAAATCTTTAAAAAAAAAAAAAAAAAGGAAAAGTCATGTAACTAGATGGAAGGAAAGTTTTGGGAAAATAAAAATAAATCACCCTTATTTTCCCAACTTCCGAATATTCCTTTCCTTGCCTTTTCCGTATCTATACTTCTCCAAACGTGGATCCGTATGTGTATGTGCGTCCGGCACTGGAAATGTGCAGACGCTATGCTAACTACTTTGCATTTAATCCTCACAGTAACCGTGTGAGTTAGCAAATATGATCCCCGTGTTTGAGATTTGGAAATGGAGGCTCAGCGGGTTTAAGTAACTTCCCAAAGTTGCACAGCGCGTAGGTGACCGAGCCACTCTTTAAACAGTTATTTCTGACTCCACAGACTATGTGTTTAAGCACTGAAAGGCTGAAATAGTTACTTTCTAGCCTAGCAAAAACTATTTGCCCTGAATTTACTACCAGGGAGCTTATCTTATCTCAGATCCTCACAGAGCTGAGTTCTCTGTTGAATGATAAAAGAACATTCCAAATTGTTCCGCTTTTTATTTGTCCTTGCTTCCCTCCTCTGACTTTCAGTCACAAGAGCTTCCCAGCCAGTAATCCTAAACGCGGGACCACATTGTTTTCTGTTTTATGGCTCGACAATCTCCTCTGTTGTAAATACATTCAGAAATGATTGTGGCTTTTTCTTGAAGCCTCAACATTTTTTAAAAAGTGATTTATTTTGACAGTGCTTTAGCCTCATGATTTCAAATATTAAGTTACTTGCTTGGTTCAGGTGATCTTATATTTTCCCATAAATGTTTTTATGTCACCCTGGAGACTGAGAAATTTCATTCCAGATTTTTTTTCTTTCTTCCTTCATTTGATTTTGTGCAGGAGGAGGACTGAATTCTTTGAACTTGTGAGTAAAGGAGAATATGATTGGAACATCAAAAACCATCGTGATATATTTCGGTAAGTAGCAGCTCTTGTTTATGTGTTTCTTCATTATTTGAAGATTTCGCCATGCTTTTCAGACAGTGCTAAGGGCACACACGTGATTTTTAAAGTAACAAATCTTAGCTTGCATTCAAAACATTCAGAGAGTATTTGAATAATTAGAGAATAGATAGATGGCATATCTTTTCGTCTTCTAATCCATTATATTTTTGCCGCCTCTCCATAAATTTGCCTTCAGAATTAGAAAATGGTGTTCAAATTGGTTCAGTTTCAGCAAGCTGTGACTTCCTCTTTTTCCTGGGGTGGGGGTGTATGTTGAGGGGAGAGAGGATTTTGAACCTTAGAAAACAGTGTTAGCCAAAACAAAGTAGAGAGTTAACTTTGGGGGGTTTTTTTAGAGACGACAGGCGTTGTAGATGGAAAACCAATTGGAACAGTTTGGGTGGCAGAAATAAGGAATCTGTTCTAGAATTTTCACTGAACTTCTTCCTAGTTGTTTAGAAAAGACAGCAGCAAACCACGGCCCTTACGTGGCACATTTGAACCCCCTGACTGGAGCCATCCCGCGGGCTAGGCACTATTCCTCTTTCTCTCAGATCCTGTCCCTCCACTGTCCCTACCTCACCCACCCCCAGACCTTCTGCTGCCTTAGTCCTGTTCCAAATTGGAAAGCTTGTATTCCTGGAAAAGCCTGTGAGGCCTGGACTGAGGCTCCTTGTGTCTGTTCCACAGCCCGGTGACTACTAGAATCACCCAGAACAGGACCCCTCTCATGGCGCCCCCTAGCTGCTATGCAAGCCCCTTCCCCCCACCACCTCCAACTTCAGAACGCAGGGCTGCCTGCCCCTCCCCCTCTGCCCCTGACCTCGCTTCACCCTTTCCCCAGCACTTCTCACCAGGGCCCTCTGTTTCTCCCCTCCTGCGGTAATACTTCTCTCTGCTATCTTTTCAGACCTTTTTCTTCTTCCGGTCCAGGGTGGGAGGGGACCCTTCCTCCTTCAAAACTAGCCCTCCCCATGTGTCCTAACTCCGTTCCTTCCACCTCCCCCGCCCCTGAACCTGCCTTCTCAATTATGCTCCTTTGGCATTTTCCAAAATCTGCTTTTTTCCAGCATGACCATTCTAGGCCTAAAAATATACTTCTGTCTCCTCAGGCGAAAATATCATGCCTAAAATCTGCCTTCTTCCCCAGGTCCATTCATAGTCCCCGTTTTCTCTTCAGTTCCACACTTGACTCACCCTCCTCCTAACTTCTTGCAAGGCATGTGTTTCTTTTTAAATAATTTTGAGTTTCACAAGTAATTATAGGAATATATTTTTCTGTAACAACTGAAAACATGACAGATGAGCCGCCAGACCTTCCCTGGGCTTCACTCCCAATTCCCATACCGAAGCACAGCTATACACTGTCACCAATTTGTTGTAAACTTTCCAGCCACTTCTAAAGCATTTATGTACGTGTATATTCTGAGGAAAAAATGCTGTTGAGTGTGGACTTGTTTGTTTGTTTTAACCTAAGTTACGTATTTATATATCCATCCGAACTGGCTTGTTCACTCAACTGTATGCCTTGGAATTTTTTCTGTGTCCCTACGTCATCAGCTTTTACTGTTGCACAGTACTCCAAAGCACGGATTTACCACAGAGTAGCTAGCCGTTCCTCTACTGAGGACTTCAGTCTATGAAATGTGACTTCAGCTCCTTTTGAAAGTCACCAGTCACCTCCCAAGGATCAATTTCTAGGGCCTTTGTTCTCTCCTGGGATCTCATCACAGCCCCTCATTGCACTGGCCTTTCTGTGTTGAAGCTCTGTGTTGAAGCCTCCTTGGAGGCTGCCGAGCCCTGGGCTTCCAGATTTTCTACTCTCCTCTGACTCTTGCTTCTCCTCTTTGTCCTTCTCCAGCCCTTCCCCCCTCCACCACCCCTGGAAGGCAAGGACCCCCGAGGACCCATGTTTGAGATTTCTCTCCTGTTCCTCAGCCTCGTGGTGGCTTTAACAAGCACCTCTTCTCACATGACTCCTGGCCTGTCTTCTGAGCACAACTCCTAAAATGCCCGTGCTCATTCCACATCTCCACCTGGGTGTTTTCCTACAGAGGTTTTCAAACGCTTTTGGGCAGGGAACCCCAAATGGAAGAAAAATCTGGAAGTACAGTGTGTAAAATAGAGGTGCTCCGGTAGCTCTCCACGCCCCGCCCCCAGCTTTGCCTTCCCTCCCCCGTTTCATGGTTAGACTCCGACAACGGGCACCGAGGGGCAGGGGGGCTCCGGGGGACCACCGTCTTAGAGAACCTGAAAAAGGCAATAAAACCAACTAAAAGTCGGTCTGCTTTTTATCATCACCACGTGCCTGCAGCCTGAACAATGTCAACGATAAGCTACTTCTCCCCGAGAAAAATCTTATGTTCGTAGAAGTCCTAAACAATTGCTGAGTTTACTGTTGAGTATCAAAATAATTGATCTGAAAGCTTCAGATGAGCACATTATTACTTATCCTTTAGTTGTACACGTCTGGTACCTCCAAGTTCACTGCGAGAGTGCGCGGGGACCCCGTCAGCAGCTGACACCGGTGGGCGCGGTGCCCACTTCAAGTCTAAGTTCGTTTCACGCGGGCTCCGCGGCTAGTTGGTGCCTTCCACCCTACGGAGCTTCACATTCCCGCTTTCAAACAGTACATCCGGAAGAAACAATGACAGCACAGTAACGGCAAGGACGAAAAAACATAACTCGACTTACTTCGCTTCTGTCATTTTGTGTTGACCATTTGGACGTTTTATTTGTGTCTTAAATTTTAAAACCGTGACACAGAGGGCAAGGCTCTAAGTGGGATTTTTTGTTTGGTGAGTGCCAAACGCAGCTCATACGTGAACTATTTACTGACTATGAATCTATTTTTTTAAATTACAGTGGATTCTTTTTCACTGCTAATTGTTTTAAAACGAGAACCAATCAAGAAAATGATGGTTAACCCAAGACTGTTGTTGCAATGACTTGGCACATAGAGGGGAGGTGCGATAAAAATGATCTGCCGAGAGCGAGCGTCGGGTAGTCCGGCTGCGGCCCGGCCGACCGCAGAGGGGGCCGTACCTCCGGGCTCCTGACCACTCGTTCACTCAGCGCGCTGTGTAGCTGCACACCCCCCACGACAGACTGAACGAGAAGTATGCGGACCTCAGAAGTAACTTCCTCCCTCCTCTCTGACTCTAGAAAAGACTTTTCATTTCTTCTAGAGGCATCGAAACAATACGCTATCACTACTCATTCACCCCCTTTGGTCCTTCCTCTGGAATCTCTCAGCCTTCTCCTTGCCTTTCCATTCTCCTGCTTTTTTTTCTTCCTTGTTTTAGGCCCTTATCAGTTGGTACTTTCCAGCTGGTCTCCCTGCTTCCCTTCTTCTCCAAACTCTTTTCACACCCACCACCGAAAGTTCTGCCTGGAACGTCTAGCCAGGTCCTTCCTGAATCCCCAACCTTAACAGACTCCCCAGTGCCAGTTGGATGAAAGTTTCAGACTCCCCCCCGCTCCCATCTTCCCTCCCAGCCTTTTTCCGTCTTCCTTCTCAGTACGGACTTCCTGCTCCACTGTAGAGCATTCATTGAAAATAGAGACCCTTCTGTCAGACTTTATGGATTCCGGCTCCAGCTTTGATACTTCCTCACTGTGTAACCTCTGGCAAACTTTCTACCTGTCTGATCAAGGAATGCAAAACACTAATTTGCTTTGTAAAATGGAGGTAATAATGGTATCCCTGCCTCACCTAGAGGCTATGTAAATCACTCTATAGTGCTTGCTCGATTAATGGTCCCTATTAGAATGATCACTAACAGAGAACCTAGCTAGATACTCAATACCCATGTTGATTGACTGATGAATGGTGACATGAATTTGAGAAGTAAGCCTCGAATTATCAAGCAGATGAAAGCTAAATCATTGTCCAAGTTACAGTATAAGTAAGCAACTTCATAGAGATTATTTCCTGTCTAGGAGAGAGACTGCAAAGTTCAATGCATTACCTACAGTCTTGTCTCCCTCCGGTACCAGCAGAACCTAAAAGGAGAAGCATTTGAGTGTAGCAAGAGGGGGCCTGGTAGCTTTGTGATAAACACAGAATCCTGACTCCTTACTCACTTTGGGAAAGTTACTTCATCTCTCCGTGCTTCCTTTTACCGCTCTATAAAATGGGAGTAACGGCCCCTCCTTCTGAGGGTTCAGTAGATTCATTTATTAGTAGTTAGGGGGTCAGCACTTAGTACGGAGGCAGGCACACAGCAGAGTGCTTGTTACAGAAGATCAAATAAGAAGAATGCACCGCTGCATTGCTCCGCGTAGTGCTTAGCACACGGGGCTTGGGATTAGGTGCTGCCAAACTCGTGGAGGGGGCTGCTGAGGCCGGCATGCCTGGCGGGGCTTTGAATGACCTATTGTTACCTGCCACTCTGCCCTGTTCCCTGGGGGGGTTTCCTGGGGAAGTTACACAAACCCCACTACCATCATGCTCTGCCATCTGGGAAGCAGACATGTTTCCAAGGCATTCGAGTCCGGCAGGGTAGGAAATGTTAACACCCGACATCAGGACAGCCCCCTGACCTCTAACAACACACCCCTTTCTTCCAAAAGGAGCCAACCAAGATGTGGTCTCTCGACTCCAATCCGTCATCGCTTTTCATCACATCCTGCTGGCTTTAGTACAAAGAAAGCAAATTTTGGACAAAGGGTGTGCCTTGTTTTTCCCACCTCCGCATCACATCACATGATAAGCACCAGAGCTATCCACAATTTAAATTGTCCCCCATGTTTTTATATCCATTGTTCAGGGTGAATTCTAGTTAAACCCAGTAGAAATCTGCCCCTCAAAGATCTGGTTCAGATCTTCCTGTGCTTTCTTTTGTGCTCAAATTAATGAAAGCTGCTGCTGAATATGTTTCTTCTTCATAATGCTGATAAAACATGGTTGCAGCCAAGTAATAAACTGGAGTGAAACAGTGTGGCTCTCCCAGTAAATCTTAGCTCCGTAGAGCAGGTGGAAATGAAGGAGCTCCTAAGGTAGCGTGCGCCTCGCCTCTTTGCTATAGGTTTCCATCCATTCCCATCAATCAGCGATAAGTTGGTGAAGAGATTCATCAGCTATGTATATGGCATTATAGGCTGATTCCCTTGCTGGTAGTTAAAAATAAAAAGCATCGTCCATTAGAGATTATTTTAAGCAGAGCTTGCTTAGCTCTGGTGTAGAGAAAGTAGTTCTTTGCCTTCCTTGATCCGCTGCAGACATAACAAAAGGGCCGCCACCGAGGCTGAGGCTGTGTGTGAGCTTTGTCTTCCTTAAGCAGTGTGGCCACATGATGGAGATGCTAAACATGGGGACTGTAAACAGTGCTTCCCTTGTTGAGGGAAAGACACGTGAGAGTTGGCCTTGGTCCCATTTTATTTATTTATGTATCTAGCATGGATTTGTTTAGGAAGAATGCAACAAAAGATTATTCAGGCTGTTTTGTTTGGTTCTGTTTTTCAGATCAATGTTAATGACAGCCTGTGACCTTGGAGCCGTGACCAAACCGTGGGAGATCTCAAGACAGGCAAGTGGTGATTAATGGCCGGGCCTGGCAGAGGAGGGACTGGAGGTGGGGGGAGGAGGGGGGAGCAATATTCCCAGAGCCCCGACTCCCAGGCACTGAAGCCCTAGTCAATTTGCATCAGTATTAACATGGTGTAAAAAATAGCAGGAGGCTCAGGCGAGACATACTTTATTGCACAGCCGTTTATTAATGTGCTTCCACTGAGTCATAATATGCCTGATTCTCTAAGATTTTTTTAACACTCTAAATCCAAATAACGCATTGGCCATGTCCTAAGGCAAGAGTTTCAAAAATAGAGTTTTTAAATAGGTAATCGTGTTTTAGCACAAGGTCTGCTTTTTTCTCATCTTAAAAAAAAGAGAGAGAGAAAAGAAACCAAGGAGGTCAAAAGGAAATTTTATTTTTTCTTTTTAAGGACTATTTAGAGATCAGATCACTTCGGCCGAAGTGTGCAATATCCACAAAAAATCATGCCTTTACCACCCATCTGGTTTCACTGCCGAACATGTTAGTTTAGAGCAAGAATAGTTTTCAAGCCGATAACCACACAGTTAAAGATTCTTGATTACTAATAGTTTTTGGAGATTAATATCTTTTCACTTTTATGAGGCACCTACTGTGTGGGGTGTGAAATAGTAACTTGGTATCTTAAGTCTCAACATTTTAGGGAAAGTAAAATAGATTCATATAACAATAAATAACTATTTATTGACTATCTAATATCCAAATATCTAATTTCAAAGCCCCCCCACCTTTGATTTAGGTATAGTTACTCCAGTAGGCTGAATAATAGCAACCCAAAGATAGCGGCTCCTAATTTCTGGAACCTGTAAATACTGCCTTAGAAGGAAAAAGGGTCTTTGCAGATGTGATGAAGTTAAAAAGCATCATTATCATTATTATTGTCATTATCCTGTATTATCCAACTGGGCCCTAAATTCAATGACAGGCGTCCTTAGAAGAGAGAGATGCAGGGAGATTACACATTCAAAAGAGGAGAAGGGGATGTGAAGACAAGGCAGAGAGTAGAGCGATGCAGCCACAAGCAAAAGAAAGGTGGCAGCCACCAGAACCTGGAAGGGACAGAGGATAGATTCTCCCCTAGAGGCTCCAGAGCAAGCTTGGCCTTGGCAACACCTTGATTTCTGTCCAGTGAACTGATGTTGAGCTGCTGACCTCCAGAACTAGAAGAAAATAGAGTCCTATTGTTTTTTGTTTTAAGATTTTATTTATTTATTTGACAGAGAGCGAGAAAGAGAGAGAGAGCACACAAACAGGGGGAGCAGGAGGCTGAGGGAGAAGCAGACTCCCCGCTGAGCAGGGAGCCTGATGCAGGGCTCTATCCCAGGACCCTGAGACCATGACCTGAGCCGAAGGCAGACGCTTAACCAACTAAGCCACCCAGGCACCCCGATTCCTGTTGTTTTAAACCACCAAGTTTGTGGTCATGCCTGGCAACCCTGGGAAACTAATACAGTTTATTACCCCTATTTCACAAATGGGAAAAGTGAAGCCTAGAAAGGATAGCTTGAGGTGATACAGCTAGTAAGTGATGGGGCTTGGTATTCAAATCCTAGCAGATTAGGCTCCAAAGCCTTCACTCTTTACAGCGCCTTACACTATCTCACACCGGATACATCAGTGGGCATTTTTATTTTTTATTTTTTTAAGATTTTATTTATTTATTTGACAGAGAGAGAGACAGCAAGAGAGGGAACACAAGCAGGGGGAGTGGGAGAGGGAGAAGCAGGCTTCCCGCCGAGCAGGGAGCCCAATGCAGGGCTTGATCCCAGGTCCCTGGGATCATGAGCTGAGCCGAAGGCAGACGCTTAACGACTGAGCCACCCAGGCGCCCCTCAGTGGGCATTTTAAATGATGCCAGTGGTAAGGAGAATGAGCTATTATCCTTCAGCCTCAGTGGCTTAAAACAACATATTGTTCATGAACATGTGCATCCAGGGTCAGCTGGTACTGTTCCTCATTTTGGACTCGGGCTGAAGGAGCAGTTACCATGTGGATCATTCTGACAGAAGCCCCAGCCTGCCTCATACTGGCAAGTAAATGCCTCTTCCCAAGAATTCATTGGCCAGAACTTGTCACAAGACCCCACTCAACCAGGAAGTATAATTCTTTCGTGTGCCCAGAATGTAGAAAGCCAGAAATAGTTAATGAAAATGTGACTACCACAGTTTGCTCTTCTAATCACCAAAAGTGTGATTCACTCTCCTTCCTGCAGGCAAAATATAGTCAGCCTTTCCCCAAGGGAAATGACCCAAACATCCCATTAGTCATGGTATCAAGCTCAAAGTCCAAGATCTCTGGGTGATTCATGCCAGTCCCTACATCAGGTCTGGATGCAAATTAAAGACCTACACACACCCCAAACATAGCATCTGACATACACCCAAACCACGAAGTACTCATTATAATACTCCCATTCAGAAAGGAAAGAGATGGCCAACATTTGGCAGTTAGGGGGCCACAGTAATTCCAAAATCCCACTGGCCAGTCACTGTGAGGCCATCCATTCTGTGGTAGGCTCTGGTTCTCTGCAAGATGCTCCCCAACCATCATTATCCATGGCTGCTAGATCTATTCCGGGAAATTATCCCTTTTCCATTGTCCTCCTTGGCTATATCCAAAGGTCAGGCAGCTTTCCAACCTGTCTCCCACCCAAAATGGTTGAGGACCCAAGGCTTGTTTTAGGTTTTAAGTAGTCACAGTCTTATGGGGTTTTTGGCATCAAACTCTCTTGCACGTTTAGTCAGCTTGTTGTGTCTTTGATTCTAGTCATTTCCATTTGCCAATAACCACATCCACAGTTCTATTCTAGACGGACTTCTTAGATCTGCCATATCTCTTTGCTTCCTTGTTTTCAAGAACAAAGAAAAATAACATATGTACGTCTTTCTTCCTCCTTCATGACCCAATTCCTAGCAGTCGGGGCCCAACAGGTGCCAGTGAGAGAACCATGTAGTAAAATCATTTCTCTGGGCCATTTTGTACAACGGAAGGGATATCCTGGGTACCACCTACTTCATTCGAAGTTCTTAACTGTGAGTGCACTGGCCGTACCTTTGATTCTTGTTTCAAGGCTGAGTTGTTGTTTTTTTAAGATTTCATTTTTAAGTAATCTCTACACCCAACATGGGGCTTGAACTCACAACCCTGAGATCAAGAGTCACATGCTCCACCGACTGAACGAGCCAGCTGCCCTGCAAGGCTGAGTCTTGATCAGCCTTTGTCATTCAAAACATATCTCAATTTTTATTTTTATAGTTTGGGATTAAAAAGCAGCTTCATCTTTCATCCCTGAAGATGAAGACTCTGAATTTGTGACTCTCTTCCTTTTCATTTCTGATGATAAGCCTGCCAATCCTTTTCTGAGCTCACTTCTTACAATACTTAGCAAAACATAGTCAATAGCAGTCGTCACATGCTACTAACATTTGTTTTCCAATCTCTTCCCCTAAGGCAGTAAATTCATTAGATACATTATTTGTTTTATTTCAGTGAGAATTGTACAAAATATTTTGCCACTGTGTAACATGGGCCATCATCCTTACAGCCTCCAACAACATTTCTTCACTGTCGTATACCTGGTCCCCTTGCTGATGCCACATATTTTAGGGTCTTCTTATTTGTCTTCCTTTTTCTCTTTTTCTTTCGACAGCAGCACCTCAATTCCATACTAATTTTTGTGTTAGTCAAAACTAGGGTAGGCTTTGCTGCAGTAACAAATATATTCTCAAATTTCGCTGCTTAACTCAAAGAAACGCTTATTTCTTTGCTCCTGTCAACAGTCCAGCGTAGATTGGGCAGTTTTCCTACAAGGTTCTCCTCCAATAAATAGCTCTCCTCCAACTGAGCCTTGGCTTTCATTTTAGTGTGACACATTTGAAGTTACATAAAGCAGGGTAAGTGGGAAGAATTTGCACGGTTGAGTGGCTTATTTCTACATCTCTGCCTACTCTTCACTGCCCCAGTGTGGGAAGGCTCCCCTACAGTGAAGTTGGAGAACAGAGAAGAGGTAGGAATCTTCCAGGTATTGGGGAAAGGTATAGTAGCAGAGGTGGCCAGTCTGACTGGGATGGAAAGAAGTGGAGGAGTGGAGAGTGGGAGAAGTTCAGGGGACCAGGGGAAAACTAGAGAAGATTGGAAAGAGAGTGAGATGATGAAGTACGATGTGCCAGGCCTTTCAGAAACCCCAGTGAACGGCACGTCAACACCTAGAGGAGCAGTAACCCACTTGGGAGCAGGAAAAGGACAGGAGAACGTCCTTAGAATGAAAAAAGAGTTCCTGCATTGACATTTTAAACCAACTTGGGAGGCCCACTGGCCACTTGAAGGTGGTCTTCTTGGTCATTGATGTAAATAATATTTTATTTTTAAGATGTGAAGTTCTGCTGATAAGTGCAGAGACCCAAGAGTTCAGGGAAATAAAACACAAAGCCATGTTTTTCCAAACATTTCCATGAGAAATCTTGTCACAGCTCTAAACTGGAGATCTCACTTGTGTTTGTCTCCAAACCGAATAGGTTAAAATGTTTTCAAAAACATACTCACTTCTATGATTTTAGGAAACATTTGGACGAAAACAATGGAAACTTCTTTTAAAAATATAAATATATTTCTAGTTTCCTAGATGTTGATTTTTTTAACATTTCCTTGCAAAATGTTTTTTTTTACTGGTGTCTATTCCAACCCTCCTTCCTCACACACATGACTCGAAGCATGTGGGTTTCCCCAGTGATCCCCCAAGGCCTGATTAGCATCTCAATTTCCTTCTTTAATAAAAAATTCAATCAGGAGCCACTTAATGTTCCTGATTGGGTTTTTAAGTACAAATGAAACAGTGGTACAAGTTGAGCCGTGAAAGAAGCACAGGGGAGATAGCCAGGACCACTTTCGAAAGATCAAGGACAGGATTTTGTTTTAATTTCTTTGCTTTTCAGGGGCTATAGACCTATGCAGGCCTCCTACCTTGGGGTGACCTGATGTGCACATTTGTATTCTTTAGTGCAAAAGACCCACCTCAGAGCAATCTGAGGGAGTGTTCTGAGAGCGGAATAAAGGAGGCCAGCCCCTTAGGGGACCATTTCTTTTTTACAGGAAGCCCAGAGACAGAGAGAAAGGTCTGGAGTGCTAATGGGAAAGGTAGTGGCAGAGACTGCAGAGAGAGAAGGAAATCGGGCCCTAGGAAAACTGAGCCAGTGCCAACTAGTTTTATGCTATTGAATTTTTAAAAGGTACCCATATTCCTTATTAGAAATGCTTAAAATCTGAACTGACTAGATATTCTATTTCTTTATAAATGAGCTACATACTTGCTATTCTCAAGGGGTGTGTGTGTGAGAGAGAGAGAGAAACAGAAACAGAGATGGAGAGAGACGTTTTTCTGTTTTATCAATGGTTATGATTTATGGTTGGCAGACTCTCTTGAGAGATACACTTAAGTAAATTATCTTGATTCTATCCACTTGACCAAAATTGAACCATTCTAGCCTTTTCCAGACCTTAGAACCTCATCTTTGTAAGAGCCTGGAATAGAGGAAAAACTAGTCTGGGGATCCAGATCTTCTTGCCATCAAGTTTTCTGGGATTTTTTTTTTTCCTGCTCTTCCAAATTTTCTAAATCCAGCTAGTTCATCTCAGAGATTTCCTAGATGCACACTATAGTGTTGTTGAAAATACCCATTTAACACTTACTGCTCTATCAGTAGATAGAGCTATCCCATAAGCTATCATTAGAAGCACAGGGCTTGGAGAAGCTTCTCTTCGGCTTAACAATGACCAATGAGCAACTTCTGATCATCCATGCTAATAATAGACGAAAAGTGGAAAAATAAAATTCCTTACTTTGGAAAAATCTCTACCATTTGGGGTAGAACCACCACTTCCACTGTGCTTGTACCAACTGGAACCGACCATAAATTAACACTTTTAGTACCTAGATTAAGACAGCCTGAAGACCAAATCAACACTCTTCAAACTGCATCATGACACACTGTAGAAAAACCTGGTATGAACAGTGACTCTAGCGTTAGTCCTGCCCTTGGCTGATTGCTCCAATAAGAAGCAGAGGTTGCCCTGGGCTTATCCTCTCCAGAGTGCATGCGAATATTGGTAGGGTGAAGCAGTTAGAGAGTTTGGGGGATGGCAAATGAAACCAAGCTAAGATAAAAGCATGCAACAAAGTGAAGAATCTCTGTAGAAACAACCAAAAGTTGGCTAAATTATTATTGCAAGTATATCATATTATAAAAACAAAAAATATTATTAGGCATTATTTGCTTCATTTGTTCTGCAATAAGAGCATTTCCTACTTTGAAGGTGGCAACCCAGTGCCTCCTCCTGAATATGGAATCTGTACTCGCCGAGGTCGTCTACTAGCATGCATCTAAAAATACCTTGCACAAGTTCCTCTGATTAAAAGGAAATCAGTTTCATTGATTAAAGTCTGTAATACCTTGAAACAGAAAATGTTAATGTACTTCTTCAAAAGCTTTTTAAGTGATTATCTGGGTTGAAGATCATCACCATACACGGAAGGCAGAAATAACTTCTGAGTCTTATGATAAATCACATATAACCATAAATTAAATATGTATATGTTTCAGGTGGCTGAACTTGTAACCAGTGAGTTCTTTGAACAAGGAGATCGGGAGAGATCAGAACTCAAACTCACTCCTTCAGTAAGTTCGTCCTTCTATTATGACGCATTTACCCTTTGGAATGACATTTTCGAAAGTAACTCCAAAAACCACAACTTGAAAGTGGGGAAGACTGAAAGTTGGATTTAAGGAAGCACTCCTGAAAGTTTAAAACTTTAATTAAACTTAGATGCTAAACACTCTTATTCCCACGTTTCTGATTAAGAGTGGTGAGCTACTTAACAAACATTTCCTGAGCTCCCACGGTGGGCCAACTAGGCACGGGAGAGGATATGCAGAGTGGCATTTGAGTAGCTCAAAGCCCAGTGCTGTCATTTCATATGTGGTCAGTAGCTCCTTTGGAATAGAAATACAGACAAAAGTTAAATGCAAGCTGTCCAGCCTTGAGCAGCTGGAATGGATAACCGCAGTGAATAATGGATGTTCTGGATTTTATTTTCCAATTTCAGACTTTCCAAAATCGTAAACCCAAATCATTTCAAGTCTCTGTTTCTTTTCTTTGTTTGCAAAATGAAAAGTTTCACTTGGGAAACTAGGTTCTTCTGACTGAAATGCCATTTTTATTGGATTCATCCATTCGATTATTATTTGAAAATGCTTACTGCAGGCTCTGGATGATGCTGTTTTTACTCAAACAAGACAAAAGACATAAATGCCTCCATCACCACCCACAAGGAGGGGGTGGCCTCTTTATTCATAATGAAGGGTTAGCTAAAAACACATCGCCTGACAACTCAAGGAATGATGCAAAGTGTTGGAAAGCCGGCCCAGCTCAGTAGATTCAGTGCGGCTCAAGGAATATGTCCGTTGTCAAGAACATCTGTTTATGAGGATTCAAGTCAACTGAGTTTTGCACATTTGGGGGTATTTATAAGATCTTCAAGTTTTAAGAGGTCTTTCTTCGCTGACATGTAAAAGCAAGGAAAGGCAGCAGAACTAGCTCCTAGTTAAACAACGTCACCTGCTTGAAGTCAGACCTCACAGCCTTACTAATGTTGACTATTCCTAATTTGTTGCTTACCCATGAAAGGTCAGAAGACTACATCAGTTAGAACACTTGCCCAGTATTTTAGTTTCCAAAGCAACATCTATTTATACTATTTCCAAAACCTCCCTTTATTCTTTTTTGGTGGTGTCACCAGATTTGGCTATAAAAATAAAGACACTGGATTGGGATACATCGTTAATGTGTAAAACCTCGTACAACCCACATTTCTCTCAGCTACATATCTATCTTCAAATTAAAGCTTTCCTCCACTTAAAAAGAACTGTTTCAGAGGCATCCTCTGAAGGGTGTATAACACAGCAATACTACAGGTCATTTAATTGAATGAAAAAAAATATGAGTCAGTTGCCAGCATTGGTGAGCTGGCAGCGGCAGTGACCCAGCGCTAAGGAGCCTTTGTCTGTGGGCTCAGGTAAGGCGTTCTCTGAAGACACAAATGAGATGGATTTTGCAGTGGAAGCATAGCACTAAATGCTACTCTCGCCTCCCAAAAGGCTACTTAACATTGCTGATGACCGTCTCCTGGCTGCTGTGGCAGGGCTATTTCTCATTAGTCCTTTTCCAGAGATGTCTGGAAATGCATGCACCCACAGGTGACACCAGCCGTGTCTGTTATTCCTTGATATTCAGGAAGAAAATTGTCTGGGAGCCCCATCAGGTGTCATGGTCCTAAAGGTCATTAGAGTAATCAAAGGGTTAATAGTGGAAGCAGTGAGTCAGTTAATAAAACATGCTTGAGCACCTCCAGGTATCAAGCATGAAGTTGGGCACTGTGCTTCCAGCCATGAGCAAGGTGCCACTTCCCTGCCCGTCCCCAAACTTGTCAACTGATGGGAAATATAGATATTAAATAAATAATCACTCAGGGCGCCTGGGTGGCTCAGTCAGTTAAGCATCTGCCTTCGGCTCAGGTCGTGATCCTGGGGTCCTGGGATTGAGCCCCGCATCGGGCTCCCTGCTCAATGGGGAGTCTGCTTCGCCCTGTCCTTCTGCCCTCCCGCCCTCCCCTCCCCGACTTGTGCTTGCTCTCTCACGCATACTCTCTCTCTCTCGCAAATAAATGAGTAAAATCTTTAAAAGTAAATAAATAAATAATCATAATCATTTACAAGATGCAAAATGCTGTAAAAGGAAAACACAGGACAGTGTACTATCTCACACTTCCACTCAAAAACATTTTTTGAGAAGTGACTAGTCTGCAAATAAACTCTGACAGTTATGGTCAACTGATTTTCAAAAGGACGCTAAGACAGTTCAGTGGGGGAGGAAAGCAGTCTTTTCAAATAGTGCAGGGACAGTAGGATATCCACTGCAAATGAGTCAAGTTAGACCCTTACCTCTCACCAAACCTCGGAATAACCTCAAAGTGGATCATAGAACTAAATGTAAGAACTAAAACTATATAAAACTCTTAGAAGAAAACAAGGTGTAAATCTTCTGGATTGGATCTGGCAATGATGTCTTAGATATGACACCAAAAGCACAAGAGACACAAAACACAAGAAAAACAAAATAGATAAATTGGACTTCATTAAAATTTAACACTTTGCATCTTAAAGGACACTGTCAAGAAAACGAAAAGACAGCCTACAGGATGGGAGAAATGATTTGCAAATCATATATGATATGGGCCTGGCATCTAGAATATACAGAGAACTATGAACAACTAGAAAGGCAACCCAATTTTTAAAAAGGTCAAAGGATCTGAATACATATTGCTTCAAAGAATATATAGAGATGGCCAATAAGCACATGAAAACATGCTCAAAATCATTAGTCATCAGGGAAATGCAAACCAAAACCGCAGTGAGATACCACTTCATGGGGACTAGCTATAATTAAAAAGACAGACAATGACCAGTGCTGAGGAGGATGTGGAGAAACTGGAACTTCATACACTGCTGGCAGGCATGTAAAATGGTGCAGCTGCTTTGGAAAATAGTTTGGCAATTCATGGAAGCATTAAAGGTCAGACTGGGCTCATGGCCCAGCAATTCTGCCTCTAGGTCTATCCCCAAGAGAAATGAAAACATACATCCACGTGGAAACTTGTACATGAAGGTTCAGAGCAGCATTACTCATCAGGGCCACAAAGTGGAAATAACCCAAGTGCCCATCAGCTGAGGAATGGATAAATAAAATGTGGTGTAACTATACAATGGAATATCATTTGGCCATAAAGAGGAATGAAGTGCTGAAGAATGCTACAGTATGGAACCTTGAAAACATCATGCTCAGTGAAAGAAGCTGGTCACAAAGGCCACGTATCATACGATTCCATTTATATGAGTGTGCAGAATAGCCAAATCTATACAAACAGAAAATGGATTCGTGGTCACCTAAGGCCGGGGATTTGGGGGAGGGGGAGGAGTGACTGCTAATTGGTATGGGATTTCTTGTTGGGGTGATAAAAATGTTCTAAAATTGACTGTAGTAATGGTTGCACAACTAATTGTGAATATACCAAAAACCACTGAACTAAAACAAAAACAAACAAAAAGTTCTATGCACCAGAAACAGTAATTAAGTAAATAAGAAAATTTCAGGTAACTCTGAGAGCTCAAGAGTAGATAATAGAATAATATTTTTAAAGGAACACTTCAGACAAAGACTCCTGCAGTTCACAAGATCATTCCTTCCTTCCTTCCTTCCTCCGGCATGCGTCAGTCTTCTCCAGACCCTAGTCCCCTTTCCTGGTATTTCACATTTCACATTGTAAGACAAGGACGAGCAGAGTCTGTGGGAGTCAGTGACCTTCTCCCTGATTCGGAGAGATTCCCTCAGCAGCACCCTTCTCTCTTCTTGTGAGCTTTGGCAGCTCGTGATTTCTGTCCTACCGGCTCCCACCCTCATTCATGAGTCTGAAGGATGCTGGCTTTTTCAGCATCTCCAGACCAAGGGAATGCCTTGGATCTGCCCTCGTGACCTATGTGAACGCCAGAATGATGTGGATGCCACATGTTATCTCTGTAGAGGAGAGACCAAACCTACTTTAAGACAGTAATGCAGGGGAAGGTCGCTTCGTAGACCCTGGCCTTACTCGCTGATAGCAGAAAGAAGGACATGCTTAATGGAGTAGAACCGGCTGTGTTTGTTCAAGAATCCATGTGCGCCCCAAGTCCAGCTGATTGGCTCCCTTTTCATGTCTGCCCAACAGACATGTGTCATTTCTTTTTCTTGAAGAGTATACCTAAATTTTCTAAACATTATAGTATCATGAAGTTTAAAGCCTGGGAAGGAGGAGAGAATGGGTACCTACCACATCATCCATCCCATGATAGACAAAAACTTAGGATTTTTATTAATGACAGAACCTTATTGAAAAACACACAAGAGTTGTCAAACCAACATCCCACCCTGAAAAATTAATACAAATAGTTTCTAGTTAAGATGAAGCTGCTTTAAGGATCTTTTCTAATCTATCCCACCTTCTTTCACTATAAAAATAAAAGCCTGCATTATTTTTGTGGCAATAAAACATATCCCCTTCCCCTTGACTTGTACCCAATTCCCAGTGACCTGATGACTTGATTTAGTGGCCATTACCTGTATCTGAAGGCAGATTTTGGCCCCAAGGAGTTGCGTGCTATAAAGTTCAAATAAATTCGCTTACAAATCTCATAAAAAGAGGTGAAAATACTTTATTTCTCATCATAGATAAAGGAAAAGAAAGTACATGTAAAGATTGGTTGTGATTTGTGAAGTGTTCAGTTGGTAAAAATTGGATCATTGTGGCAAAGTGTTTGACAAAGCACCTGTAAAATACTCCAGCGTAATAAAGCAAGCTTCTTTTCCCCCATTCTAGGCTATTTTTGATCGGAACCGGAAAGATGAACTGCCTCGGTTGCAACTGGAGTGGATTGATAGCATCTGCATGCCTTTGTATCAGGTAATCATGATTTGGGAGGGTCTGCATGTCCAAATGAGCCAGGAAAGAAGAGTGTATGTACTTTCAGAAGGTCTAGCCTTCCGATACCCTTCCAGGGTATGGGCATTGCTAAGAACTCTGGTTGCAGTCAGTCTCTTCTCAGATTTCTGACTGTCTCCTAGGAAAAGTTGATGCTAGGGGGCCGGAGACCTGAGTTCTCCTTCTAGGACATAATGTCCGTGGGCCTCGATGCCCTCATCTCTAAACCAGGGTTAATCATATTTTATCTCAGTATTTCCCAAGCTGTGCCCCCAGGAAACACAATTATCCAGCCATAGCCTAATAGATATTTCTTCAAAGACAGCTCCCAGGCCCGACAACGAGGGAACCCGAAGGCTCAGAGAGTCCTTCAGGAAAGAAACACGTTTAACCTTGATTCATTCCAAATTTCTTTAACATCTGACCGTGGGAATCTTTTTCACTTTTTTTTTTTTTAAAACAATTCTTCTTTTACTTCTATGAATATCACGCGAGACACAAGAGTTCCATGAAACCATGAAACGTGGTTTTCTGTCCTGGCCCCATGGTCTGGGCCCCAGGGTTTTCAGAGAACCTTCCATGTTAAAACTCTGCCTCTCTCTGAGATCCGTGTGACAAATGCTGACCCCTGCATTCTGAGCAAGATGCACTGTGGTTTCTGGCTCTGCTGCCTGGCGTTCGGGACCCTGCTCCTGGTAAGCAGATGAGTGCCATCAGCTTGAACGCGCACGCTCCACTTTTTGAGTACAGATTAGGGTTGGCATCGGTTAACACTAACAGTTTAGTGTACATTGGCTTTTAATTCTCCTACTAAGCATTTGCTTTCATGTGTAAAACCTGGTGAGTTCTTTACCCCCTACCCAGGGGGTAAAGAACTCAATCAGACTGAGCTGCTTTTCTAACTTCAGACTGAGAAACACACGCAGGGAAAGCAAAATCACTTTAGTTTCTCACTCTGTGTAACTCCGTTAAAAACACAGTATTGTTTTTTAAGGACCTCACAACTATTAAGTTTCAGGCTTATCTACCACTTCGTTTTCAGCACTTTTAGGAGCTGCTGAGCCCTGTCACGTTACGCTAAAAAAAAAAAAAAAAATCTAGAATACTGTCTTGAAGATGGAAATGTAACTTATCAGTGACTATAAACACCAAAAATAAATTCCTTTGTTTTATGTTAACCATTAAATACATGATAGCATAAAAATGAGACCAAGTTTTAAAATAATCTAAGATAGATTATTTTAGTTATAACAGCACATAATGTTCTTTTGTTTAATAATGAAAGATTGGGCGAAAAAAATCAGGAGTGATGTGTACTTTATTATAAGAGGATCCTTAACTCCCTTTTCTTCCTGTCCGCTCCTCCCATCCTTGCTTCTCTGGTATCTCTGCATATGCTGGCGGCCCAGGTACGAAGCCTACAGCTGTTGGGTCAGATATATCTTGCTTTGCTAAATTCACCTTGACTACCCATGTTGAATTATGTATAATTTATTCAGTTTCCTGTGCACAGTTATGCAATAAATGGGATGAATTCTTGCCATGAAGAAATTCCTTTTACTGTGGGTAAAGCTTAGGAGGATGTAGACTTGCAATTGCAGGGCTGGTACATTTTTGGTATTAGTTTGCAAAGCTACTTTGGAATGGACCCAAAGTCCACACAGCCTTCCTATGTGATTAGTTATAGTAAATGCTGGAAAGGATTCTCATGTGCTTTTCCATGCTAATTTCATTGTTTTGGTACTGATTCACAATCATTTGAGCTTATTTTATACTTCCTATTAAATACTTTGAAATCTTCAGGTTAAAAAGGAAGCTGCTTGAATTTAAACTGAAAATAGCACTTTCCCGAATTTAGGGAGTAATATTACCAGATCACATTACCTATCATTCCTGATTTTCCACATCTGTTTTGCTTTACTACCTATGTGTGAGGTTAGATACTCCTGCTATTTTTAGCCACAGAAAATTAACATATAGAAGTTTTAAGTGACACTCCCACCAAGCTAGAGTTGTGTCCCACACATCTGTGGTCTCGGTTTTGGTGTAGTGGACTTTCTACCATCCATTCCACCTCTGCTGGATATTTCTTCCACAATCTTTTCTTATTAAACTATGGAGAGAATCTTAGCATTGTAAAGAGGGATGTGGAGGAGCTGTTTATAAAAGGTCATGTTCATTTCTGCTGCTATGTCTTCTTAGTTAACAAAGCATGAAAATCATGCTCATTTTTGAATGTCTTACCATCACTTATTTTTAAAAATAACACAGAGGGGCACCTGGCTGGCTCAGTCGGTTGAGCATCCGACTCTTAATTTTGGCTCAGGTCATGATCTCAAGGTTGTGAGAGCAAGTCCCATGTTGGGCTCCACGCTCAGCAGGAAGTCTGCTTGAGATTCTCTCTCTCCCTCTCCCTCTGCCCCTCCTCCCTCCCCTGCCCCTGCTTGCTCTCTCTTTTAAAAATAATAACAAACAACTAAGTGAACAAATAAAAATAACAGATTTTATTTGTAAATTCTTTATAAGTCTTTGAAACCAATATTTCAAAAAGCCCTCAAACTGAAACTTTGTTGAGCAATTTTAAGTATCCTCTCTGAGAGTCCCTATTTTGTTCCATCTCACGCAGTTGGAGGCCTGGGGGTTGACTGTTATTTAACTGGGTAAGCTGACATTAACTGTCACGCTCCCAGAGTGAAAATGGAATTCGTCAGTGGGCAGGAATCACCGTTAGTGCAAAGATACAAAACCTTGACGAAACAACTCACCAAGCAAGGAACGCCATTGATGTGACATTAGGTACTGAGGCAAATGTCTGCAGGAACTCAGGTTGTTGCCGAAATGCCTGAACAGTTTGGGGTTTTGAACATGAACATGCAATAATGAAGAGTCTGAGAGGATAGAAAGCAAATGGGAAAGTATGCAGGTGGCAGGCATCCCAAAAAGGGATTGATCTGAAATGACATGGTCTGAATTCTAGAGCATAGGAATCCAGGGTGGCCTTGCTAGGTCAGTCTGGGCATAAGACAAAAGGGTACAGAATAGTACATATGAGACAGAGAATGTTCCTTTTCATGGCCAGGGCCCTGACCCCCAAGGTGGAGCAGTTTGAGTGGCAAGAAGCCTCGTGGGGCACCTGAGACAAACCGATGCGGAGAGAGCTGGAATCCCTGTGCCGGGAGCAGGGTGCAGAGATGCCCTCCAGCGAGGGCGGAAGCTAACGGAAGCACTGGGGCGGAGGACTGAATGGCAGAATACGGATGGAATTTGGAAGCAGGGGTGGAGGTGCAGATGAGCAGTAGATACAAATATGGTTTTAGGACAGCTTTTTTCTTTTAATTTTTTATTTAAATTCAATTTAATTAACATATACTGTATTATTAGTTTCAGAAGTAGAATTTAGTGATTCCTCAGTTGCTTACAACACCCAGTGCTCATTACAATAAGTATGCCCATCACCCACTCACCCTCTTCCCCTCCCCTCCAGCAACCCTCAGTTTGTTTCCTAGACTTAAGGGTCTCTGTGGTTTGCCTCCCTCTCTGTTTTTGTCTTATTTTATTTTTCCTTCCCTTCCTCTATGTTCATCTGTTTTGTTTCTTAAATTCCACACATGAGTGAAATCATATAGTATTTGTCTTTCTCTGACTTATTTTGCTTAGCATAATACCCTCTAGTTCCATCCTCATTGTTGCAAGTGGCAAGATTTCGTTCTTTTTGATGGCTGAGTAGTATTCCATTGTAGACATCTGGGCTCTTTCCGTAGTTTGGCTATTATAGACATTGCTGCTTTATAACATTGGGGTGCAGGTGCCTCTTTGAATCACTATGTTTGTATCCTTTGGATAAATCCCTAGTAGTGCAATTTCTGGGTCCTAGGGTAGTTCTGTTTTTAACTTTTGAGGAACCTCCATACTGTTTTCCAGAGTGGCTGCACCAGCTTGCTTTCCCACCAACAGTGTAAAAGGGTTCCCCTTTCTCCGCATCCCCGCCAACATCTGTCGTTTCCTGACTTGTTAATTTTAGCCATTCTGACTGGTGTGAGGTGGTAACTCCCTGGGGTTTTGATTTGTATTTCCCTGATGCCAAGTGATGTTGAGCACATTTTCATGTGTCTGTTGGCCATTTGGATGTCTTCTTTGGAGAAATGTCTGTTTATGTCTTTTTGCTTTTTGGGTGTTGAGTTTGATAAGTTCTTTATAGATTTTAGATACTAGCCCTTTATCTGATAAGACATTTGCAATTATCTTCTCCCATTCCGTAGGTTGCTGTTTGACTTCCTTGACTTTCACTGGGTAAATTGGTTTCACTTCATGGTTTTGAAAAGGTTGTGCTTGTCAAATATGAAAATAGATCAAGCACTTTCCTTGTTCACTCCAGTTTGCTGAGTTATGTCCCTCTGAGCCAAGGGCAGATTATCACTAGTCTCAGGAGCCTGAAGGCACATTTTATGTGCCTAGGTGGGAACTCCCACAAACTACATTTTGGATGCCCGCTGCATTTAAAATTGAAACTCATCTCTGAGACAACTTCAATTTCCAACCAATTAGTGCCTATGTTGAAGGAAAACCAGGCTAACTCCTCCAATCCTCCTAAAATCTATTCATTAGGAAGTTACCTAAGTAATCCAGTGACTGACTGGAAGTGACTGACCGAAAATATATAAAAATATATAAACAAAGCAGTGCATAGGGAGGAAGCGTGCAGAGAACACTCCCAGATCCATGACTAGTTATAGAGTTGGGAGATATGACACACTTGTATACATATATTTACATGTGAGTATATAATTCTCCAGAACTTGCTCATCTTTTTAATCTGATGGCTCCAAACTGTTCGTTAAAGAAAGTAGAAAATGGTCCTAACAGGCAGAGTCATGATTTATCTGTGACAACGTTTTAATCAGGAAGCATATAGGAAGTCAAGAGTGGGCAGGGAAGCATCAGAGCGTGTGCCCCAAGAGAAGACTAAAGCCTGGTTAGTTAGC